ATGTTTCCGAATACATACGTAACCATCCGGCGTTTATAATTCACGAGGTCAGTAGATTAATCTCGAAAGTTTGACCACTTATTTCTAGGACACCCTGAGCATCTAACCGTTACAAACGCGTAGAAGTCGGTACACATTCGCGCGTACGTGCGTGTGTATTCGATTCACGTGCACCGGCAGTGCGTGATCGATGGTATCGTTCTTTCGAGCGATGATGAAAAATTGGCGACGTCTGCCTGTTTTATGCAAACGTCTTCGAAATTTGTCACCATACGACGCCTGAGCCATGAAAAGTTTCCAAAGCAACAACGAAAGTAATAACTAGGTTCTTAACATATCCTTGCTCAACATATACTTCAACGATTGGTAAACTCCGATGACCAATATAAAGAAAAATAGTGTTTAAAAAAACACTATAGTGGTCCTCGAACTTGCAGATAGAAATTTTAAATATTTATCTTTTCAATGCCTTGATAATACAATTATTAAACGAAAATAAACCTTTCAATTTATTTAACATTAAGTCTTGCACAGGGAAAACCACGTCTTTGGAAACCTTTAAACGCTGAGTACTTTTTTAAGACGAAGTTGAAATTCTTTAATATTTTTTTAACACGTTGACTGCCAGCCCCCTCAAATTGCTCACGAAAACGAAACTTTGATTTTAGATAATTGGAAACTAGCAACAATTTGTCGTAGAATTTATTTTTACTTCGTTAAAATTCTAGATTTATTTTCTCTAACATCTAATCTTGATAATTAAGTTATTTAGTTATTTAGAAAAATCATGCAAATGTGTTAATAATTATCTTTATCTCGATGACTTATCACGATCCTTTAACCAAGGATAACTCACGGATCTTAAAACAAAAAATTTGTTTAGAACCAAGAATTTAAACTAAGAAAGTCTCGAAGAATTTTGATGTTCATTCTAAGCTCACGTTTGCAAGTTTGCAAGATTTAACTAATTTCTGCGAGGTTATTGCAAGGAACATTGCAAAAAAAAAGGGTCGACGAACCCCATTAGAGTCCATCAGAGTGGAAAAGAAAGGTCAAGAACCTCTGCTATAACGCTTGGATACACTAATCTGACGTCTACGTGGCTCGACGTCCAGTCAAATTCCAACTGTTTCGATAAATTCCGAGTAATACGATGATGTATTGGCTGATTCGTTCTAATTGCGCGGTCTCTGAGAAATTGCCTCGTCCAGAAGCACGCGCACGTGTTCGTGCAGACAGAAGGCCAGAGATGCACAACATACGGTCCGCCGTGTGATTTAATGTGGCTAGTGGCCTGATTTTACGAGAACAGAAAATTCTGTTAACTTTAGCAGACGCGGGGAACATTTCTTTTGAATAATAGATAACCCCATCGAATGGACTCACAGCAATTTATTCGCGACGTTTCTTCGATCAGAGAGCCAAACTTTTACCCCTTCGTTGCCGGAATGATTCATTCCATTAATGAAATTTTTATTTTTGTACGCTTATATTTTACATTTTGTAAAATAGATGTACTGGCTAGCTGGAAATCCTCAGCGTGAAAAACAAATACCATTATAAAACCCGTGTGTAAATCTATGGAATTCCTTTTTGAAATTAGAATCACTACGATTGAAAATATTGGGAACAATCGTTGATACGCAACGATTAAAAAATTCCAACAGTTATGGAAAAGGTAAACAAATACGTGGTTGAACAGGAAGAAGAGATTGTAACATATTCCAATCAACTAGCCATAAAAGCATGCGAATTGTCGGTAGATATAAGGCTAAAAAGAAAGCATCTGACTTGGTATCTTAATAAATCACATTCTAGGAGAATTTACCAAATATGCATGAGACAAGTCGTAAAACTGTAATTAAATCAAAATATACACATAATTTTTCTTTCGTACAATGGAAGGCTGTTAAAATAAAACAAATTGGAAGAAATCTAAAACGTATATGGGCCTTTAACGCGCGATTTACGGAGGTTGATACAGGTTACGGCTGACGTTTATCGGTTCTTGACACGCTCTGCCGCTAAAGCCAGCGAAATTATTGGAATAATTTGCATATCGCATTAAACTGACTGCAAGAAATCAGGCTCCTTGATAGGGGGCTGCTCGTTGAGCAAATATTGATAGGATATTTGGATCGAAACTGTGTTAATAATGTTGCTCTTTCGACGACGCTATCCGGGGCGTCTGAATTTTAAAGTGAATTTTAATCAACGGCGATAAGAGGGGGATCGAATCTACGCGAAAAAATACATTTCGTTCGAACAAATCGAATATTCGAGTACCAGTGCACTTGACTATACTGTAGATCAGGAATGTCAAACCCATTTTGGCCGATGGGCCAATTCGCACTTTGTCACCGTGTCACGGATCGCGGACATACAATTAATTTAGAACAGAAAAAAATATTTTAAAGGCCACGTCGAGACATACTTACGTAGAGAAGGGAATAATTTATACAGAAAAAAAGCAAAAGAATACGATTATGTTATTATTTAATTCTTTGTAAACGAATAAAAAAAAATAAATCTAAAATAAAAAATAAAGTTTGAAGTTTGAAGTTTGGAGTTTCGTTTTCTAGAAAATCGACTTTGAAAATTCATTGTACACGCGCGCAACAGAGTACGACTTGGAATTCAGCACAAGTAGAAACAGTGGTTGGTAGACAGACATTTCAGACTCTCATTGAATCGCATTCGACATTTTTAACGAGACAAGAATTATTGGTAATTGGAATGTTCCATCCCAGTCAAAATATTGCTTCCAAATTCTACTTATTTTATATATTGCAAAATCCTTGAAGAATATTAAGAAAATTAAAATTAACAGTATTTCACGTATTTCGTAATTTCTAATAAAAATTGTACAAAATTTACTCGACTGGATATCTGCAAATTTGCAAGAGAATGAATCAACTTTTATTTCTATTGCATTATACATTTCCTCAAGGATCTATCGTTTCAATTTCTTTGGTACAAATAAATACACCATAATTGTCGGTAGTTATAGTGTTAATATTTTCGTGAACAAATTTATAAGCACGACCCAATAAATACTGTTTACCTCAAAAACTGAACAATTTCTATCATTCCATATTATTTTTCCATCATAACATAGGCATAAGACGAAAGATTACTATTTTTTAATCTAACTAGTTAAAAAACATCCCAGTGTTCATGAAAACATCACAATTATGTATACCAAACAATTTCGATGTATAACATAGAAACGTTCAACTTACGAATCACGGTTCATTTTACGAATCATTACTCGAAGATGATATACTGCCATTTTGCAGAACTTTCTCATAGCAGCTTGATATTTATCGAGCCACGAGGAAGGGAAAATGAGAAAATTTTTGAAGAAAACGAGAGAGAACGCAAACGCTAGACGAAACAACGTGGCTTCCAGGGGACGAAACGAGGCGAATGCTCGACGAAAACGGTCGTGGGGACGCGATCGAGGAAAACGGCGATTCCTCGAGCGGTGAAAGCCTTCGGTTTTAGGGGCTCTTTAATTAGTGCGTCGCGTAGATAACGAAACGAAAAACGAGGGAAAAAGCTATATAAGCATCGTGACCGGAGAGCTATGCGAGGGCCTCGCGAATGGACAGACCGCGAACAATGCCAGATCGCGCAAGCATCGAGCATTCGAGGGACAGAAACAGCGACAGAGCTCATCTATTATTGGCGCAAAACAGAAATAAAATGCGGTGCGACGGCCTGTGAAACCTGTATGGTGCTCGCGTTGCGCCAACAACTTTTGTCCCGCCTTTCGTGTTTCGATGCTTCTTTCCTTTCTGTTCGAATTAGCGTGGCTCGTGTGTTTGCGTTTTTCCCTCCCCCCTCTGCCACCAATATCGATAATGCAATTGCGAGGCATTCGTTGGTTTCCACCGATGCCCGACGGAGCTTCGAGTCGAGTCGTTATTTTTCTCCGGTCTTTGTTCCGTTTTTGCACGCGTTCGAACGTAGAAAACGTCGAAACGTTTATGTTCGCGAAAATGCATCGGTGAATCATCCGATCCGTACCGAAATACGACGTTCGATCGTTTCGTAGGTGCGTTTAATGCCAGGCTGCTGGCGTCGGGGGCTTTTCCAAAGACGTTTACGAAGTATGCAAATTTGCTGTACTAAATCGAAGGAAAAATGTTTGGGTCGACGCAGATCCATAAATCGATGCTTTCAGAAACGAACAACGATTTTCTGTTTCGATAATGTACGTTATCGAACCGTGTTCGTCGCTTACGATAGCAACAGAATTATCGGAGCATACACGGAATTATCTATACGGTCACTTTATTATTGTAAGCTATCAGAACTGATGCTGTACTTTGTTTGGGTATTATATTAATGCTTCCCCAACCACTTTTACATCACAATATTTATATTCATTAGTATTATAAATTTAAACAAACTTTTACGAGCAGAATAAACTATTCTCTACACGGATATATGTTTTTCAAAACGAATAAAATTAAAGTTTTTGTGAGATATAGTCATTCAAAATTCTGATTTAATGTTTTTAGGGATCAGAGTTTCAATTTGTTATAATATAGAGAATATTCTCTGCGGTGATGTAAATAATTTTCATTAATTTAAAATGTTTTTACAGTGTATGTACACCTGTTAGAAAGCACTGTACTATATTACCAGATCATTTCAGTCAACATCTGTACAAATACATCAAAGATATTAATCGTTCGTCGACAATCTTCGCATACGATTTTTGTCCTATCACTGAATTAATTTATCGATACTTATTTCATGAAAGTCGTTCAGTTCCATTTTAACTTGCCCATACTCGATTCAAGATTTTGCTTCACAAAGATTCGACTTCGAGAGAAATGCTACCATAAATTTTGTTGATGTTTGAATGTCAGTGAAATCGAACAAAATAAAAGTATCGAGTTAAAAATATAAATTCGAAAAGAAAATTGTGAGAAATCGGTTTGGCAGTCAACGTGTTAATTATCAAATATTTCTAAAGGAACACTTACCACAGTGATGGGGTAGACTGGATTGATAATTGTGAAGAGGAGAACGTGATTTGGTGTATTATTGTCTTCTCTGAAAAATGAAAAAAGAGATACTGTTAGATTTTATAAAATGATACTCGATAAAGCTACAAATTTATCGTGTTTTCATGCTTGTTAGTGTAAAAAAAAAATAATACATTTTGTCATTTAGTCTGCATAAGCACAAATTGTGTCCTCTTCTGATAAATATTTGAAACGAAATATAGATAAGAATTATTTTCAATCATTCGAGCATAGGTCTATCGTGCCTTGTAATTTTACAAATCAATATGTCTCAAACTGAAATTCTTATTTTAAGTTTCAATTTATTCTCGCTTTCGAGCATTTGCTTTTCGGTTAGAAACCGCTTGGAATTCTTTGCAACGCGTTCCCGTGCAAACCCGTTGAATTAACGAAACAATTTAATCGTCGGAAAAGTTAATCGCGTTCTCCGGCGTATGACTCTCATCGAAACGCGCGGTGAAAAAATTCAGCATTTCCCGGGGGCCAGCGTTGAATTGCAGTCAAATCGCATCAGCCAGGGTGCACGGTTCGCGAAATTTTTTTATTAAATCAGAACGCGCCCCGACGGGGAAAGAGCCACGGTCTCGAATATTCGATTACTCCAAGAGAAACGTAGGAAAAATCGTACACTGTAATTTCTTTGCCGAGATTCGACGCGAGCGCGATACAACAGCGAAGCGCCTATTGATAGATAGCCACCTATACATTTTTCATGCCCGGCATCAATGTATTCCCTCCTCTCTCGGCTCGCTTTGCGACCAATTGGAAATTCAACTGCCTGCCATTTTTCCTGCTGAAAGGGAAAAGCCCCCTGGTGCTTTCGTTTTTGCAATTCAAAGTGACCAATTCTGCCCGCGAATCTGTTGTGCCCTACTCTGAATTATCAAACTTCGATTCTTCCTAGAACGCGTCTCTGAATCGAAACTTCGTCGTCGCGTCTCCTAAGGCTTTTCAACCACTTTCTTTTTAACCAACGCTCTTGAATATTAGTTAAATCAATGATGAAAATCTAGAATTTATATTAGATATGAAAGGATTGCGAATCCATGTTCAGTGATAACGTCATTGAGATAAGAATAATTGTTGAAAGAGTTCCATAATGTTCCAAGTGTTTCCAAAATCCGTTTCGTAAGGATACTCGAGAATCTCGTTATTGAACGTAATGTTGAAATTATTCAGGATTATCGTAAATACAAAATTAAAACCTCTAACCGCGAATACGATCTGTGACGAGGAACATGTCTTAGTCACGGACGGTCTGTGGTTATTAATCTATCATTATTTTCTTCTTACGTCTCGACTGTTCTCGAACGACGTAATCGAATTCATAAAATATACATATACTTAGAATTTAAGAAAGCGTTCGATACATTTATTGCTGCTAAACTTCGCGACTTTGAATCCAGAGATATTTGAAAAGTGTCAAGAATCAAGTTTTCAGACTGAATGGCAACAACTCAAGTGTTCTCTATCGCATTTAAGCCTACTATTATTCTTATCATCTGTTAAGAGTATTTGTAAAGTTGTTAAGAGCGAGTTTTTGCTGTTTGTCGATGACTTAGAAATTTAAAAAATGATTATCTCGAATCTGTTCTACAATTTACAATGCCATGTATAAGACAACTCCTATCTTGTTTCCTCGTACATTTAACAAGTTGACTACGTTTTTCTAACATTCTTGGTTAGACCAACAAACCCCTAAAAATATTGATCTGTGACTTAGATTTCTTCAAAGAAAACAATTCTCTAGATTCAATTTGTACCAATTATTACCTTACAATTGCTACAAAAGTAAATTTTAAAGTAATATATATTTATCATATCGCAGATCATGCTCAGTAAAAATAAATAAATTTTCGAGCAAGAACAAGAAGTTTTACCAAATTGATTATATATAAATTTAAATATAAAAACTGTTTCTATTTTTATCCAACGTAACAAAAAGTATGTATTTCTCGAGCGTATATATCTTAAGTATCTACAGAGAAAGAATTCGACCTGTATTCTATTGCTCAGAACGTAATTAGGTCAATATTTCCATGTGAAAATATATGGAAATGTATGGACAATACGAAAAAGTCACTGAAATAATCGACTCTGCCACGTGCAGTTGTTAAAAGAATAACGAGTTTACCACTTGCGCTGGAATGACGTACTGTGTACGCTATTTGTTCGTGCCAGAACTGAAAATGAAATGTCACGTACTGCGCTGAGAAGTTGATCTCTGGATGGAATTACAAATTTTATTGGATCGGACATTTTCGTCAGCCTTCGAAGGTCTACGACAAGCTAGAAACGTCTCTTTCACTTTGTCACCAAGCGTTTGGCTATTGTGAACAGATAAGAAAAATCGTCACTTTTCGCTAACAAAAATTTATTTCCACGGTTAAAGATATAAAAAGTGATATCATTTGAAACGACTACTTTTCCAAAGTTATTTCAGAAACTTTCGTTAAGGCGTTCCGCGGTTCTTCCAAATCCTTCTAAGGAGTTTCGCGGACCTTATTCTCCAACTTTGACCACAATTTGTAATCAAGCGAATTCAAGCGTGGACCAATTTTCAACCGAGATAAACTCTGGGACAATGTTCCGTGGTTCTTCAGTTGTTTTTTGCCTCGAAAGCTACGACGAAGCCTTAACGATATTTTCCACGTTGTTACGCGCGAATATTGCAAACATTAACGAAGACAGAACTTTTTGAAAATTTGTCGCTGGAAATTAATTTCGAACAGAAATATTCACGATCTTACACGGTTTGTAATAGAAACATATATTCAAGAAAATTCGTTTATAACAATTAAATTTGATTGAAAACAAGCCACAAAATAAAAACGAACTTTAACATGCTAATAAATTTAAAAAAATTATAAAAATCTTATAACTCTGATGTTGAAAATTGTATTAAAGAATACAACTTTCGAATTATTGGAGATTGCAAAACTGCATCGAACGATCTAATAAAAATTGTAGTGTTCCATTTAAAAAGATACATCTTTTAGTCGCATCGATACGTAAAAATAAAATTACATTTAATTTTGTTTTATGATATTTTGTTGTATTTCAAACTGTTCTACGGATATAATTTTCCGCCAGTTGTGTGGGACACCCTGTACGTTAGCGTGTCTAATCGGAAGATTCGCTACGTGGGAGTGACTGGTAAGAACCTAGAAACGAGGTTTACTGTTGGGAATTAGGCGGAGCGTACTCCCCTTGCCTTTGTCGCGTCTAGTTTATAGGAGAGCTCTAGCCAACAAGTAGTCTCTGCACAGTACATATCGGTGTCTCGCGTGGGAGAGTTGTTACAATGGCCCCGAGACCGGCGTTAAAACCAAGGCCCGTGGAATTGGCCGATGATAACAAAGCGAAACGCAGCGCATACGTCGAAATTAATTGAAACGTCCCAGCCGGTCACCGAAGGAGTTTCAGACTGATCCGAACTGCATCCTTGGCTCGGGCCAAGTCTAATAATAAGAAGTTAACTTGAGCGTTAAGTGTGATTCAGAGCGGCGGGAATTCGATATCGAACGATATCCGCTCTATGAACTTGCGAGCGTTAACTTTCCCGTCGCGAGCGCACGTTACGACGAAATCCGCTCGGGAAGTGCATTCGCTTTGACGAGAACCGTCTCCGTGCAACCTACACCGCTTTCGATTCGACTTCTATCTCCATCGATACATCGATTAATTCTCGATCTATTGGATTGGGCCAGAAGTTCCCAAGCTTTTCATTTTACCTTGAATATAACTGACATTTGTCCTCGACTATACACAGTTCACTCCAAACTTGTATTCGTACACTATAATGGTAATTCGCTATAAATTAGAAGAAATTTTTTTTGTGAATTCTTTCCGTTTACTCTTACCCAATGTTGTTTATTATACTGTATTACTTCTAATTACAAAGTATATACAATAAACAAACATCAGCAATACGTAGTATTTTTCCAAGCGGTCACCCATCCCAAAGTACTGTACTTGACCGCGCCCATCGCAGCTTAACGTCAATGATAACACGAGAACCGGTGTATCCAACGTGGCTCGATCGTTGACAAGTTTTCTTTCTAATTTATTCAAATACAAACTAGCGGAACGAATCACCAATACAGTGTACGAATACGAGTGGGAGTAATATCATTTGATAGCTTTTTATCAAGTTCTTTGTTCCGTGTTAATAATAAAAAAAAGCACTTCCTTGCATGAATTTAATCCTAGTTTTAAAGTAGTTAAGGTTGCTGAGTCATTTGTACCATTTACGAAGGTTCTTACAATTTCAGCATTGCTTTACAATGTGGAACAAAGAACTCACGAATTAACCGAGAAGGTGCATGGCACCGTCATTTAAAAATAATGGAAACGTTGTAGTAACTTGGGACTTGTAAAAAAAAATCTGAAAACCGCCTGAACGTTATGAATCAACCCAATAATTAAGTAACTCTATATTCTGAGAGAGCTTTGTTGGAAAGGTCGACGCGACACTTCGGCTTTATGCGAATTCTTGACTTTATTACCCTCCTTCTCTTGACACGTGCTCCTTACGGAACGATATGACAACGAATAACGTCGCGTGGTCTTCATCACGTGACATTAATTAGTCTAGAGTCTCGCTCGATGGCATCGTTGTTGCCAAACTGAAGGCATCTTTCCAACATTCGAAACACAAAGAGGAATACAGTCGGAGAGGGAAGGACGAGAATTGCCCGCCTTCGACTTTAATGTACCTTTGCAAGATGGCAGATTGCTATACGCGAAATATTAGCTGCCATTACCCGATAATTTTAAGGATAGAGGTAATTAGAGTTATATATGTGCCGCAACGTGCAGAGTGAATAACAAGTTGTGTCGCATTCTTTTATCGAAATAGCTCTGGCACGGACGACAGAAGCGAGAGTTCATGAGCTCGAGGTCGTAGGTTCGAATCTCATTCACCGTATATACAGGGTGTCTCTTAGCGTGTAGGAACAGGGATAATTAAGCACGAGAAGAATACAAAACATTCCTACAAACGCGTGTCCCGTTTGATCGTTTTCGAGTTATAGAGATTTTCTTTTTTAACACACCTGTTTACCTTTGCACGAGCAAAATAATTTGATAAAATATTTTAAACGCATTGGCCTTTGTCCTGAATCTAATCTAATCTATAAGATTTTCGAGCCAGACGTTTTATCGCGACTGTCGAGTATGAATTTGTTATGATTGTTCAAATTGAAATTTGAAAATGAAAGACAATACTCATTTGTCTACATTAAGCTATATTATTCGATAAATATTTATGTTGATTATGGAGAAGATGTCGATGTTTTGATAGATAAAGGATGACGTGTGAAGTTTCATACCACGGATTTATTTCTGAAAGATACTTCACGGATTCGGGAAACCGTCATAATTATTATGAATTTGTCAACTGCGAATATCTGGAACGTATCCATCTCGACAGGGGAAATGGCAAGAAGCAATACATCGTTCGCAATGCTACAACCAAGAGAGTTATTGGACAAGATAATGAGTTCAAGCAACGCGATATTATAAGATCCGAAGAGACGCGAAGGGAACAAATGGGACTGTATTTATAAGTACATTAAAATTCACACTCGCATTCTGAACCGTACAACGTAATTAGACGATGGATTTCTCGAATGGCTTTATCGCCCACATGTGTCGAATCCTTGATAACAATACACATTCGACGTCCAATCAAAAATATAAGATAGCACTTTTCAAATCTGTGGATATGTATTATGAACATTGTATATCAGTTTCTCTTTGTTTCGTAGAAATAACAATTGCATATATTTTTATATGTATTTAAACCCTGCAATACTACACCTAACTCTCATTTACAATAATTTACTAAATATTTATTTTACTAAATAATGAATAACAGAGTTTTCTGGTTTATTTTTATTATAAAATATATATAAATATAAATCGATAATAAAAATGAGAATTTATAACTAGACAGCGGATATTTATGCATTTATGGGAAATTTTATTTCTTGAACAACAACAGGATGCACTTAATATGCAAAAATATAAGAAATAGTTTAAATAAGATAAGAATTATATATTATATTTAGGCTCCCGTTTGAATAATTCTATTAATAAAAATATGAATTTGCATAAAGATCCGTAGTCTATACATTACCACGTAAGCTACGTATTTTCTTCACCGAGTCATTTAAATTGACACAGTCGACACCTGACAGTATCAATTATTTTTCGTACAAAGATGAAAGTATAGAAAATATATATGTATAACATACCTTTTGCGTCGTGGCTCGTCTCCGTACCCGCCATACTCGTGATTCTGAAACAAACGTGAACACGTACTTCAGTAATATTCCGTAAATACAGATTCGAGAAAATAAAGTTTCCCAAGTAACAAGCGGGACTTTGACAAAAGTAAAAATTCCACGTTTCTCGAGTTTCCGCGCGAACGCGAACCAGTGAAATCGAATGAATTTCTGAAACTCAATCGCGATGATGTTTCCAAAGAGAGCGTATACGCCAGAGGAATCGCCTTCCGCTCAACGACACGCACTATCGTTTCTCGTGTATTGGTCGAAGGTTGCATAAGAGGAATTCATGCTGCAGTTTTGGCTGAATTTCGATGGTACGCGATGTCACCAGGGATGCGTACTCGGGCAATCTATTAATACACGTCCACGCGTCTTTTTAAGACAGCACCCAAAGCGACGGAAATAGTGCAGCGGGACACTTAAGGGGCGGGTAGGTGTCGGACCCTAAGTAAATCCTTAAAGCGTATGCGAAATCTCGTCAGCAAAAACAATCCCGCCAATTCCCCCTGTTCCAAACTTCTGGAGATATTTATTTATTTTGATAATCAACGAGTCGAGGCACAGTCAACGATTCGACGCGTTGACTGCCAGACCAAAACCATAAAATTTTGTTACGAGTCCGGAGCTTTGATTCTAGACATTTGTGAACTATATAAATTGAAATTTGTCTTAGTATTTATTTTCGCAACCTCGCTGAAATTCAAATTTATTTTCTTTAATGATTCAACTTGAGAATTGTTTTAGTTCCATAGTGGAAAACGTGGCAGTTAAAGTGTTGGTAATAACGCGTACTAATTTAAATCGAACATGGTGAAACACATAATTGTAGGTCATGAAATCGCTAGATTACTTCGATTACTCGTAATTATTTTTATAAATTAAAGAAAAGAAATGGGATTTCTTTTGAACCATCTAGATGACATATAAAGTTAATGAGACTTATCAAGGGTGAGTATTCGATTTGTTTGTTAATAATCTTAACAAGGCAAATTAAATCTACTGCTATTCTCTTTCAATGTTGACGAATACACGAAATATTTATTTATTAATAAATAATTATTATTCTTTACTCTATAATATACACTGATTACTATATAGATAATAAATCTAGTATACAATTCTGTGAGTAATACCCGATTACAGCAATCAATAGAGAGATATGACACATAAAAGATGTAATTTCTATGTATTTATCACTGAATGGGAAATATTTTGTTGAACTTTTACAAATACCTATACATTTTATTTCAAATTCACAATTCTCGTCGCCCTCTTTTTCAAGTCATATATTTCGTATGAGTGTGTATATTTAAATATTAAACAAAAATTCCTTTTTATTTTTATTTTCACAAAGGAGCCTATACGAATCTATTTATATCTTCCTAACTATATTCTTCGTTGTTTTCATTCGCAAGTTTACTACTATTAATAAAGTTTTACTATTTTTATTATTATACCTGTAGTACAATATTTAAAAAATGCTTCTAACAAATTAACACGTTCTTGATGTTACTCTTGAGAGTAATAATAAATGTTTTGAAGATCAAAGTTGTAATTTTAATTTACGTAAAAATTATTGTTAAATGAGGAATATAAAACATCTTAAATAGTGTTTAGTGATTTTCCACAATGCAATTGAATATCGAACACTCTACGTGTAAAGTTAATTATCAATGAACAACATTTGATTCACGAAGGTGTAAAGTAACAACGACTCGTACAAGTAAACCAAGTTTTTTTTTTAAATAATGACTACGATGAATCACACTTTAATCGAGCGCGATTTATATTCCTGATAAAGCGTCAGAACATCGAAGGAGCGTTATATTTTCTCAATTTATGCAAATTTTATGTAATGAACGATTCCGCAAACAGTGTTCCCGATATCCTCATGAAAGTAATTTAATTTCGTAATTTACGAGACCTATTAGTCGAGCATACTTGATGGAAACGCTATTTAGTCAAACCAGGACAAAATTTCACTATCATACTTATACAAAAAGGTTGTCCTTAGCTATAGGAACTATCATTCTTTGTCGACACTTTTTTTAAAACACATTCTCCATAACTACGATATGTGTCAGCGAGGAAATGTTTTTTGAACAATTTTGGAATGATTTAAATTTTTAAATTATAACAATTTCCTTATATATATTTGAATTTTCCAATTAAATTTACTAACTTGATTATTTCCTACTCTCTAACAATAATGTAACCATTTGAAAAAAATACATTTGCGAACAAATTATTATCGAAACAAAACCGAATTTAATACACGATAAAGTAAACTACGTTTGGTTAGATTAGAATAATACCCAAAAAATGATGTCCAAATTGACGCGAAATCGCTGCAATTTCTAAAATTTGAATCAATCGAGGCACTAGTGCACGCTATACGATTCCTCCGAAATTAAATTAAATTTAATCGTCGCGATAACGTTCGGGGGTTGAAACGATAGAAAGTTCTAATTGCGCTACAAATCCGTGTTAGATATTAACACTAATTATTTCTCGTTTAACATTAATTATCCGCTCTTTTGCATCGAAGAGCCGCTCGTAAAAGTCATTTAAATTTCATGCGATCGTTCGAAATTCCGAATGCATCACTATTCCAACGTTCTCTTTGTCGTGTACGAATTTTCCACCGACGTTGTTCGGAAAGTTAAACCCGTACGTCGCACGCCGACTTAACTTTGTGCGAATATTTTATGTTTGAAAGTGGACTGTATTTAAACTTATGATGGATATGCAATGCGGTGACTCGAAAAAATGAATACTTGTCGGTTTGTTGATGCTCCGCAAAATTCTTGTTGAATTCCTTATTTCTGAGCGAGCGTCGCTCTTTATACAGTTCTTAATTGGGCGGTTACTAATATGCGAAAAACACTGATTGGTTACAAGATTTTGTAAGGCGTGAACGGCCAGCCCCTGCAAGAAGGGGTGGTGTGGGTGTCACCAAAATTGTCTGTTTTTGGCTGTGTCGGTGGTCGCGCGAAAGTGCTATTGTATTTTTGAAGGTTGACCGTGGCGTGCAATAAAACTAGACTCCTAATTGCTGGAAAAAACGTTTGTAACGAGCTTGACGCACAACTGCTAAACATCTGGTGCGCAGGTATGGAAAGAACAAATTTTGTTATATGACGGTATTTACAAGGCTCTTTCTGAGTTGGGCTCGTTTGTTGTTTGACGGTCATACGGAGGGCTCGCGACGCGACATGCCGGCCCCCTTGAACGGTCATGTTCAAAAGATCTAAAAGTCGACAAACAGCGAACAATTGCACTGCAGGCAAAACTGAATACTTAATACTATAACATTACGAGGTATTTATAATCCTAGAAAATTACATAGTGTTTTTGATTCAAAATTGTTCTGAATCTAAACTAATCCTTATGGCTAAGTTATACTAGGATGTACTGTACATTTGTTATATGCAGTCTATTGGTAGTGGCGCAAGTCTCTTCACACTGCGTTTATACACTCCTAACGGTGTCCTTATTGTCACTACACGTGTTATGTGGTCGTCTCCTGGGTGCACCTCCAAGACTCTACCTAATTTCCACTGCAACGGTGGTAGATTGTCCTCTTGCACCAGGACCAGCATCCCTTCCTTGATATTTTTATGGTTACCAGTATGCCATTTACATCGGGTATGGAGCTCGTGCAAATACTCTCGATGCCATCTACTCCAGAAATGTTGCTTAATTTTCTGAGTGTGCTGCCACAATGACAGCCTATTCGTTTGTACATGTGTCCATTCATATTCCGGTAGGGTTTGTAACGAATCACCAATTAGGAAGTGTGCGGGTGTTAGAGCGATATAGTCATTAGGATCAGAGGATATGGGTGTTAATGGTCGGGAATTCAGGATTGCCTCGATCTCGATTATAATGCTGTTCAATTGTTCGTATGTGAACAGTGCTTCTCCAAGAGTAGCCTTGAAATGTTTTTTAAAGGCCTTCACTGCGGCTTCCCATAGACCCCCGAAATGAGGCGAACGGGGTGGAGAGAACGACCAGTTGACACCTTCATTGCTCAAATATTGTTTTAATTTTCCTTTATGATCGTTCGAGTTTACGAATGCGGTTATTTCAATAATTTCGTTATTTGCGCCTAGGAAATTGCTCCCGTTATCGGAGTATAAAGTTCGGGATTTTCCCCTTCTCGCGAAAAATCGTTTTATCGCGGCTATACATGCTTCCGTGGTTAGATCGGTTACTAATTCTAAATGAGTAGCCCTTGTGGCAAAACATACAAATACTACTACGTATCCCTTGGTTTTCTTAACGTTTCGGTGTTTTCGTTCCTTTAAAAACAATGGTCCACAATAATCGACTCCTGTGGTTTCGAATGGCCGTGTTTGTGTCACACGGTCTTTCGGTAAATTTCCCATAACATACTCAGATAGCTTGGGATTGGCTTTAAAGCAATTTACACAGTTATGAATTAATCTGCGCGTAAGATTTTTTCCATCTATTGGCCAATATCTTTGTCTGACGGCGTTTAAAGTGGCTTGTATACCCGCATGCCAATGTTTTAAATGCTCATGCCTGATTATTAATTCTGTAACGTGATTGTTCCGTGGTAATAAGATCGGATGTTTGTATGAATAGTTTATTGCTGCGTGTTTTAATCGGCCGCCGACTCGAATTAAACCCTTCTCGTCAAGGAATGGTGTTAAATTAAGTAATTTACTTCTTTTGTTTATTTCCCTACCTTCCTTCAAATCCCTCAATTCCTGCGTAAACTCTTGTGCTTGTGTTAATTTAACTATATGTATATGTGCATTAGAAATCTCTAAATTAGTCAATTCGCCCGCAACTCTGTTTTTGCTTTTACAATTATTATAAAACCGTAATATATATGCTAGTGCCCTGTTGAGCCTATTTATTGTTGAGAATCTACCAACGAAATCTGTTGTATTAATTCTTGCTACTAAAACCTTGAAGCTACGAGTTTCCGGTATTTCTATTGCAGGTAGTGTAATAAATGGCCAAGTTCGTTCGGCCT